GAAAGTCTTATTGATCATTCTAGAACCCACAAGAAACACATCTTATTGGTCTTTCTAGAACCCACAAGAAAAACATTGCTAGTATATAAATGGTTAACAGACTGCATGATGTGTCGTTTTTGGTATAGTATTTGTTTGTGCATGCACTTTGACATTATTTGATATTATTTATTCATCACTATGGCAACAATAGGTTGTGTAAACATATTCTCTTATACTTGTGGTAAATTTATCATAAAGAAACAAATGCATAACATTACAGAACTTTTCAAAAAAGCATATTACACATATTTTGGAATCAAACTTGGGGCCAAAACAAATTATGGGCTTCACACAAAGATTGTACAATTTGTCTCAAAGAGTTGAGACGATGGACTAAAGGTAAGAAAAAATATTTGCTTTTTGGAATACCAATGGTCTGGGGTGAGTTTAGAAACCATGGAGATGACTGCTATTTTTACTCTTTTAACATGCAAGGCTACAACAATTTAAATAAAATTTAAATTTCTTATCTGAACCTTCAGTCTGCTATAAGACCTGTTGATCATTGACCTGATGTACCTGTACCTACTTCACCAGAGACTCTGGATACAGTTTCATCTGATTCTGATGTTAAAGAAATGATGATAGGGATTAATTTCAACCTGAAATGTCTGCTGAACCACAACCTTTCACAGAAGGTGAGCTTAATGATTTGGTGAGAGATTTGGGCCTTCCAAAGGATTCTTCAGAGATTTTGGGGTCCTGACTTTGGGCTAAGAACTTACTTTCTCTGGGGACATCATTTTACTGGTACAGAAATTGTGAGAAAGAGTTTATACCATACTTTTTGCAAGAAGGTTCACTGGTTTATTGCAACAATGCTAGGAGCTGTGGTCTATGAATCAAGTGAGTGGGGATTGTTCATTGATTTCTCCAAAAGAAGTCTAAAAGGTGTTATCTTTCACAGTGGTAATATATATAAATCTGCTCCTATTGCTCATTTGGTTCACCTGAAAGAAACGTATGAAAATCTCGAGCTTCTTGTTAACAAGGTCAAATACAAAGAACATGCTTGGCTACTTAAAAGTCATCTATATTTTGTTGGGTCAACAATCCAGTTATAAAAAGTTCCATGTTTTTTGTATGAATGGGACATCAGAGCATAAAATTAGCATTGGATAAAGAAACAATGGCCATGCAGATTTAGCCTGATATCAGGATAGAAAAACATTGAACGTGAAAGTTTGGTTGACACAAAGAAAGTCCTATTACGTCCACTTCATATAAAACCAGGTTTTATATGAGGCAGTTTGTAAAGGCCTTAGACAAAGATGGCGAATGTTTCAAGTATTTATGTGGGCATTTCCCAGCTCTTTCAAAAGGGGATTTTGTTGGGCCTCAGATTAGGAAATTGACTTCGAATGAACAATTCGAAAGGACAATGAGGAAAGTTGAAAAAGAAGCATGGATTGCCTTTAAAGATGTTATTGACAAATATTTAGGAAACAACAAGAACCCAAGTTATGAAAATATTGTCAATAATATGCTCGATAAATTCAAAGAGTTGGGTTGTAATATGAGTTTGAAAGTTAATTTCTTACTCTCACATATTGACTATTTCCCTGAAAATCTCAATGCTTTCAGCAAAGAACAAAGGGAAAAGTTTCATCAAGACATCAGGGAAATGGTGAGGAGGTATCAGGGAAGGTGGAACATCAGCATGATGGCTGATTACTGCTGGTCATTGAAACGAGATGCTCCAGATGCAATACATTAAAGAAAGACCACAACACATAATTTTGAGACTAAAAGACATAGATTTCACAAACAAAATCAGGATGAATGAGGATACATATTCATTTGACATCAGTGTTCTTCAGTTTGTTTGTATTTATGTTCACAAACATAATAATAAAAAATGTTCATTGTGTAAATGAAATAATAATTTGATCTAAGTAAGAGTTTTTCTTCTAAATATGTAAAAAATCCTTACGTGATAGAAAAAAAAAGAATATTATTTCCGAAATCTGTGTAGTTGAAGTATGTAAAATCTGTTATTAAAACCAAAACAACTTTTATGAAGTTTAAATTTGCAGGCCTGTGTTATCAGTAACACATTTTTATTACCATTGATTTTTCATTATTTTTAGCTGTTTCCCAACAGTGGTTCAGCTCCCTGAAAATATAACTGTCACTAAAGCATTCTGTGGTTCAGATGGAACAATGTTCGTGACTGATACAGGGATGGTGCTGGCCTGTGGTTCAAATGAGTATAACAAATTAGGACTGAGTGAGAGAAGAATGTTTATTATGCAAGTTAAGCAACTTATGGTCAAAGTAAGTCATTACAGATCATTAAGGTTTAAGTTTATAGATAAAATTTAATAATGAATGTAATATAACATATGTTAAACTTATATCTAATTATCTAATAGATCATTAGTGATTTACAGTATTTCCATCCATCTTATTCTCATGTTAGAAGGATTTTAGGGTTCATTTCCATGTTATTTAATACCTTTATTTATATCACTGCTTCTTTGTTTTCAGTTTATTATTAAGCTGTAGATGACATTCTAATGGACTATAAACTATCTGAGTTATAAATTCTGTTTATTACTAAGCTGTTTTATATAATCTGTTTGTTATGTAGCTGTTGTGGTGACATTTTAATGGCCTGCAAACTACCTGTGCCACCATTACAGTATGCCTGTGACGATTAAGCTATGATGATTTTATTTGTCTTTAAGTTCAGATATGAATGCAACTCACATAAAAGCTACATGCTAATTTGATAGAACTGTATGTTTCTGATATTCATTTACTTACAAGAGTGAAAATATTCACAAAAATAGACATTTGGTAAAAAACATTCAGCATGCTGAAAACAAAACAGTCTTTACAGTTACTGTAGCATGCTGTTTCCAGCAGTATAAATGTTCTCACAGCTGCTGTAGCATGCTGTTTCTAGCAGTATAACAGTTCTCACAGTTGCTGTAGCATGCTGTTTCCAGCAGTATAACTGTCCTCACAGTTGCTGTAGCATGCTGTTTCCAGCAGTATAACTGTCCTCACAGCTGCTGTGACATGCTGTTTCCAGCAGTATAACTGTCCTCACAGCTGCTACAGCAAGTTGTTTCCACCAATATAACAGTCCTCAAAGCTGTGACATGCTGTTTCCAGCAGTATAACTGTCCTCACAGCTGCTACAGCAAGTTGTTTCCACCAATATAACAGGTCTCAAAGCTGTGAAATGCTGTTTCCAGCAGTGTAGTAGTAGTTCTCTCAGCTGCTACAGCATGCTGATTCTAGCAATGTAACAGTTTCTTAGATAAAAGGGGTTAGAATGTATGATCATTCATTAAACTTGTGTAACATAATGATATCTAGAATTTAGTTTTGACTTTAACTTATGTTTTCAATGTGTTTGAAAAACACTGTAACAGTTCTTTGTTTTTTATCTTCTTGTTGGATTGAATGTGATAGAGTATTACTTTTTATCTGAGTATTTAAAGTTGAGGTTAATATTTTATAGAGTGAGGTTGATAAATGGCTCATTCCTACCCGTGTGAACTGTTTGCGGACCAAGGTAGTATCTATCTCAATGGGTCTTACTCACACAGTTGTGCTGCTTGAACCAGGAAAGATAATAACCTTTGGGAATAACCAGGATGGTCAGCTGGGATGTGGACACACTCGCAACAGTTTAACTCCAATGTTAGTCAAACGCATGGAGGACAAGTGTGTCATGGTAAGTTTTAACTTGTAACTATTGTCTGTTTTTACAGTTTATTCTTATTTCATTAATTAGTTTTTCATGATTTAACTGGATGAATGTAATTTTAATAAGTATTCTAATCAGAATCTTACCTACATATTTTATGCAGTATAAAGATGTGAATTTACTGTAGCTGTCACTAGAGTAACAATTAAGAAGTAAATTAAATTTTGACCCTTGGCTTGTGAAAATATCAATTAAAACTATAGAACTTGGACATCTTACAATAATATGGTGATGTGTTTTTCATTAATTAATATTTCTGTGGATGATATATTTGAAAAAATGTCTAGATATGTCTAATATATTTTTTTATATGATAAAATGATATGACATGAGATTTAATGATAATATTAAAATGATAGATTTGGTATTTATTTTACTGCAAAATTTTAAGCTACTATGGGGTGAAGCAAAAACAAAATTATGTGGCAGTTTTCTTTAAAATTGCATAAACATCCATATATAAAATGTCAAATGTCACTATACAAAATGTCAAATAAGATCTTTAGTTTATTTGGTATCTTGAAATGACATTTATCTATTATGCATTTTTGTAATTATCATGAAGGTATAAATCATAATGCAAGAAATCTGATAACCCAAGTGCTTTTGGAATGAGTGATACAAATCAACATATTAATGAAATACTGGATTATGTAATATTTAAGATTTCTAAATTAGCACGTTGCCATGTCTTAGAAGGTTGTGTTTTCCCAAGCCAATGTTTAACGTATGAATTATTGAATAAATATACAGTCTTCATATAAGATTTCAAAAATGTATGAATAGGGATCAGAAAAAGGTCAAAGATCAACTGAAAGGTTTTATTCTTTATACGAATTAAAACAGTACCAATAGTTAAGGATTAAAGTTAGCTTAAAAATTGTCCCAAAATTAACTTTGCAGATTCATTAGAAAGAACATTTATGGTGATTTAAGTCAGAATTAACCATGAACAACCACTGTAAAGTTCAATTTTCCATGAAATCAGTATCAAAGTTGACTAAGTTAATGACTGTCCTTGGCTTCAGCTGTGATTCTGATGCATTCCACTGTCATATGAGTAGCAGGACATATTTTAATGTGTAGCTTATAGTGAAGTACTTTTGCTTTTTTAAGAATCTTTTTTTGTTCTCTGCTAAAGTTTATATAAAATAACAGATTTATAGGCTTTTCACTCTTAAGTTTAATGTGCTGTTTAGAGAATTTCATTGATTGAAGATAATAATTATCTGCCTAAACCTCCAAAAGATCAATAATTACATTTAAAGCAACATTATGTAATTTATTTAGCTTGATTGACACAACTTCTTCATTACTAACAATTCTACTGATTGCTGTTATGTTAAACTTATATTAAAGTTTTGCTTCATTACCCATTCAAGCCGTCTCCAGCCATTATTAGTCTCAAAGTGGGTTCCTCGTCATCAAATTCGAATTTGAATTCTACTGATTAAAAACTGAAATTTTTAAAGTTTTGCTTGCACTTTTTGGATTTTATCTGTGCTTTGCTAAATGGACACTATTTTAGATTACTGGCCAGTGGTCATCCATGTCTTTTTTTTTAACCAAGAAAAAATAGAACAAAATTTTATACTTATCAAATAAAAACTGGTAACAAAGCATGGTTCCTGAATTATCAAATAAAAGTGCATATTACTGTCCATAACTAGTAGGTATTAGTGACACATTCTAGGCCAAGCTGTAAGTTATTATAATAAAGAGGTGAATGGCATGTTGTTCCAGATGGTACAATGTGGAAGCACGTTTACTGTAGCTGGAACCATTGATAACACTGTCTACTTCTGGGGAGGACGCCATGTTTTTTCGTATCCCACCGTAGGAATGGAACTTGACAGACATTACCAACAAGATCCACTTATAGACAGCTTGCATACATTCCACCACAAAGAAAAGAACAGAATACCTGTCATCATTGACAATGATGCTTCAGAACCAAATGAAACTTTTGCCTCAGAAATGAATAAAATTGGTAATATAATTTGGCTTGTTACTACAATTTATAAGATTATAGCTAAAGTATGTAGTTTAATTTTTCAAGTTTAAAAATCCTTAGAATTAACTTGTTTTATGGTTATATAACTTAGAAACCTAGAGTATAGTCTAATGTGAAAATAAGTGATATATCAAAGGTTATAATTAGATATACTACGTGCAAAGGTGAAAGATTATATCCTTTACTAAAGTACAAGAAAGTAAACTTCTACTGCAAGCTATTTATTCTCTTTTGTGTAGTTTAGTGTTTATGGAACCTGTGTTTATTTTGTGTATGTTGGACCTGTTTCTTGTGCACTTTGGAATTGTAAGTGGTCAGATTAGTTTCATGGCACATTTTATTGTTTTACAAAATGGTTTTCACATGAAAATGATTTTTATTGCTATTCTTAAAGTTGTATCAGATGTATATGAACTGTGTTTCAACTAAGAGCCAATTCGCCATTTTGAAAATGATGATTCTTGGTTGATTTAAAGAAAGCAGGCTTGTTATTATTAGAAAACGTGAAAACTTTTAACAACATCTTTTTATGATTACTAGAACTAATTGTTGTTTATTTGATAAGTATGATGTGAAAGTTGGTAGAGTATGAATCATGGTAGAAAGTATAACAAAATATTTCAGTAAAGACTTCTAACTATTCCACTCTTAATAGGCTTAGCAAGGTTTTCAGTAAGAGGAGAGCATTTTGAGCATTTCAATGACACTAAATTTAAGTAATGACATCTTGATAATCTGAGAACTGGAATTTTGCCATGTATAAACTCTCAATGACGAAGATAAGTTGGTGGTAAGGCATAGCACCCCACTAAACTTTCTGTACTTTCACAGAAAGGTAGAGAGTGTAAGGACTGTTCATAAAATAATCAATATTATTTTCATTTTACAAATTTTAAAACCAAAATTCACAAGAAAAGATTAAAAATGACCAGACAAAAAGTTATATTGCATTTACTTGATAAGACTATTGAAGGGAAAGGTTTATTTTATTTAACATCAATGAAATATGACAAGCTGGGTAACAAAACTTAATATTTTAGATACATTCCATATTTAGCATCCATGTATGAGTTACATTATGTGTTATGCCAAAGCTGATAAAGCATGAATCTTTTAGGGTTGAAATTGAATTTGTAAAAAGTATTTGCTGGGTTATAAATTTTGTTCCTAAACCTTTTCTACACTAGGTTTACTAACTATAAAAAATTTAGTGACAGTTTTTATTTTATAATTTCATGTTGAAAGGAAAATAACTGCTTTATTCTAAGATTAGCTAATTTTACTTTTAGAAAAGTTTATGAGAATTAGATATAAAATTGCCATGATGACAAAATATTAATAGCTCCAGCTTAAAACCATCAACTGAGAAACACAATTCAGCATACACACAAATTATCCTTCTACATAAAGATATGAAAACCAACTAATAACTGCAGCATAGAATATATATTTAACATTGTTAATTAACAGTGACTGGAAAAATAGATCCACACCTACAAAATAAACAAACAGAAATGTAACATATTTTAACCACTGAACTTTGTTACAAGCCAAAACCTAGTTTTTACTGTTCCCTATTACTTGTTTAGACAAACTTGTGTATAAATTGCACTACTTTTCAGTGAGAGAAAATAAGTCTTTTGAACGTATGGCATCCTGTGGGTGGACAGAAACTGAATTTATAGCACTTAGTCTTTTTTAGTTACACGAGCTGTAGAAATAATGTTCAGAAAGGTTTCAATTATTATTAAGCCACTATGAACTTTCAGGACAGCAGCAATGTGGTTGAGGAATGAAGGTGTTAAAAGTTTACCCAAGAATGTTGTACCATTTCTCAATAAGAGATGATGGAGCCAGTTAAAGTTTAATTCAGGCTACTGAAGATTCTCTAACACTGCTAAGTTAGCTTGTGACAAAATTTGGATTGGTGTTGCCACCTTAAATGACACAATAACCAACAATGTAAATCTGCTGCACTTTAAGGTGGACCTGGTCTTTTCTAGTGACCAACTGTAATCTTATCCTTCAGTGAAATGATTAGATCAACTGTAGAGTATTGAAAGAAACCTTTACTCATGATATGTGATAGCTTTGGCTCTCTTTACATACAGAAAGTTGACCATTGTTCCTGAGAAAATTGTACGAGTCATTGTATGCACAAACTTTCAGTAAAAGGAACGGCTCATTTACATTTATGCTATTGTACCATTCATAGGAGCTTTTTGAGGTGTTTATGAAAATTACAGCATTTCATTTTATTCTCCAACTCCTGCATATACATCAACAGTTTCACATGCTCACCTGTGCAATCTAAAGGATGTAGAAGTCATTCAAGTTATACCCTGTTATATTCATGATATTCATAAAATTCTTTGTGTGTATGTATATATAAGCATGTTGTTTGTAAAGCAAAGTAATACTTGAATTAGTCAAGAAGTGGAGAGAATTGTTTTGGTTAAGCTATTTTAATCTAGGAATTTTAATGTAAAGTATTGGCAGTACTCAGGGAATTGAGAGACTTAATTCATGATATTTACATTTTGTTTCTTAGGTCTATTCTAATGCTTGCTTGAGCTGCAATTTACAAAAGAGTAGTAAGGAAGTATTTAACAGAATGGTGGAAAACAAGCACCAAAGTTAAATTATATATCATATAAACAAACATTATCAACTATTATTTTGTGTTAGAATGTACAGGTCATTGTAAGAAACAATTAATCCCCTTTTAAAAAATACAAATGTAAATTTTTGTGGGATTTCACCTTTTCAATAAAATAAATCTTTGATATTTTTATGTGAAACCCAGAATCTTTTCCACACATTACATTAAACAATATCAGTTTAGGTTTTCCCATTACTTACCATTTTGTGTGTAGTTGTATGGCTGTAAATTGTTTATTTTATTTTAATCAGTTGTTAAACTAACATTGGAATTAAGTTTGAAATTTGATTTTTTCTTCTTTAGGGCAACCCCAGAGTCCTAAAGAAATTACTTCAGATAAAAAGGACATAATTCTACAGCCTCAAGAGATCTTAGCGTAAGTAAAAAGTATTTTTCAGAGTGAAATATGCTTAAACATATTTTTTTCTTCTGGCTTTTAGTATGTATGAACAAAAATGTTATTGAATCTAAAATTTTAATTAATGTAGCTAAAACAATATGTCAGCAGTATCATAATCCATTTGAATACACCGTGTTAATCACTTGCTATTTTCTGCACTCAGAACAATATTATATGCCTGTGTTAACAGGTGAGAATCCATTTGAAAATCCACCTTTCTTTCAGTTCTCTGCTTTACAAGCTCTTGTGTTATAACCAGTTTACACTGTTTACATCCTTTTCTCCAGTTTCTTTATTTCACACCTCTCATGTTGTAACTATTTTACACTGTTTACACCTTTTTCTCCAGGTTCTTTATTTCACACCTCTCGTGTTGTAACTACTTCACACTATTTATACCTTTTTCTGTCGGTTTTCTACTTCACAGTTTCTTGTGTTGTAAATACTTTACACTGTTTACACCTTTTGTTCTGTAGGTTTTCTACTTCACAGTTTCTTTTGTTGTAAATACTTTACACTGTTTACACCTTTCGTTCTGTAGGTTTTCTGCTTCATAGTTTCTTGTGTTGTAAATACTTTACACTGTTTACACCTTTTGTTCTGTAGGTTTTCATGTGTTGTAAATATTTTACACTGTTTACATTTATTTCTTTAGGTTTCAACTTCACAGTTTCATCTGTTGTAAATACTTTACACTGTTTACACCTTTTGTTCTGTAGGTTTTCAACAGATGAAACTGTGAAGTACACAAGAAACTATGAAGCAGAAAACCTACAGAAATATGTGTAAACAGTGTAAAGTATTTACTTGTAAATACTTTACACTGTTTACACATATTTCTGTAGGTTTTCTGCTTCACAGTTTCTTGTGTTGTAGATACTTTACACCATTTACACCTTTTGTTCTGTAGGTTTTCTACTTCACAGTTTCATCTGTTGTAAATATTTTACACTGTTTACACATATTTCTGTAGGTTTTCAACTTCACAGTTTCTTGTGTTGTATATACTTTATACTGTATACACCTTTTTCTCTAGGTTTTCTACTTTACAAGGTCTTGTGTTGTAATATACTTTACAGTGTTTACACCTTTTTCTCTCTGTTCTCAGCTGAACAAGTTCTTGTATTATAACTATATTACACTGTTTACACTTTTCTAGGCTCTATGCTTCAGAAGCTCAGGTAGCAAGAGGAGAGATCATTAGCCTGTCAGATTTGTATTGCTCAGGAACTCAGCTTTTCTTAGCTGTGGACACTACTGTCCCCTTGCCTCGAGGTAACAAAAAGAGAGGAAAAGGAAAAAAAGGACAAGAAAGTGAAACCAATTATTTGAAGAAAATTAATAGTTATGAAGATGGTGTTACTCTTAATTCTCATGTGAACTATAATGCAGTGATGTCAGTTACCTCAGATAGTCTAGGACCTGTAAGTATGATTCATATTACAGCATTGTAGCTTAAGAGCATCTTCTTCATTTTTGTATTTTTCAAAGACAGGTATTAATGATGTATTATATGTAACCTGTTTTTATTTATAATTGGTATCATGACCAGTAGTACCTTCCTGTTGCAAAGCTTAATACTTTAAACTAATTAAATAGTCATTATTTTATATTTTTTTCAAGTCTGTTATTGTTTTTGTGAATAATCATCCTAGCTTTGACTGCAAGGCTCTCAAGGTTCCCAAGAGAGTCAAACTGGGGTAATAAACAAACAAAGTTAACATGTTGAGTGTTGAATTCTGTTATTCATTGTTTGCTTCAATTGAACAAGAGTAAGTTTGATTAGCAAATAAGCTAGAAAGTGGTTTGTATATTATTGTGTCATCTCAACTCTCTGGATATGGATAGTTAACATATGCATCTCACAACCTTTTAAAAGATTTACATTCCATATTACATCAAATTACTTTATTATCAATTTATGTCAATAAAATTGCCATCAAAGTTAGTTAATAAATCAAGTTTTAATATTATATAGCTTTTAACTTTTTAAAGCATAATGCTAGTTCATTTTCATGACAGCTTTTGAATTACTTGATGTACAGATTCAAAGTTGCTATTACCGAGTCCTGCTCAACAACTAAGGAAATTATTATAGCTTAGTTAGAAAGCCAGTCAAATTATACTAGTTAAAGAACATTGTATTCTCTGTGTATGTTCTTATTTTGTGTTCTAAATTAAATAGTTAAAATAAATAAAAGTTCAGTAAAGTAATAACAAAAACTTTAACAAAAATTAAGGTTAACTTTTATTGACACTTTGAGTTCAATTGAAAAAAGGCCCGGCATGGCCAGGTGGTTAGTATTTTTATCTAGTATTTCAGCTGCTAGTTTCTTTAGTTCACAGTTTTACAATCTTTTTTCTGTCACTCAAAACATTTTCATTTTAGTGCTATGATTTGTTTATTTAATTTGACTATATCACTTGCTTTATAACTATCTTATCTGCAGTTATTCTGTTGCTGAGAAGATAATGAAAATCATGAATAATTATCATTGTGTATATTGTATACATTCATGCGGTTATAAGGATTAATATTTGGCCTAAACTTAACTTATAGGCACAAGATCTTTTCAAGTGAGTCAAGAATGAGTGTTGTATGGTTTTAATTTTTATATTATGATGTGCAAGAATGCTTGGTAACTATAATGAAGGTTTTCAGTTTTTACTCTTCTACAATGTGTGTATGTGTATAAATATAATAAACAGATAGTAAATCTTTCTCTCTCTGTATATATATATGTGTGTGTATTTATATGTGTGTTATTCCAATTTAGACACCTGCATGGTTGAAAGAAGAGTTGGCAGGTCCAGTCATACCAGGTATGACTGGTTCTTCAGTTGCTGAACAAAAACATAGAGGTAAAGATGGTTTGATCAATATTCTATAATGTGTCCCAAATGTAGTATGTTTCTCTATGAATAATAACAAGATGTTGTATAGTATCAACATAAACCCTTGGGTTTAAAAACTTAAGATATTCAAGAATTTAAAAAGCATTAGAAACAAAGGCAAGACTACATTTCATACATATGTGTTATTTTTACTATTCTAACAAGTTATGATGCAAAGGCATTGCTGTTCACTCCTAATTAACTAGGTTTTTATGTGTCCATATAGTATTGATGACTGTGTGTTCTTCATATCCCTGAAAAAATTATTATCCAGTATTATACACCTCAATATATATATATATACAACGAATGACTTCATATTGCTGAACAAACTAATATCCAGTCTTATACAACAACATGCACATTTAGGTGTCATCAGAGTGAGCCACAGCAACAACTTGTGATGTTACTAAAGGTCACACAATTTCACAACAACAACATACACACTGAGATGTCATCAGCATGAGCCACAGCAATTACTTTTATGTCACTAAAGGTCACATAAGTTCACAACAACAATAGGCACACTGAGATGTCATTAGAGTGAACTACAGTAACAATTTTGATGTCAGTAAAGGCCACATAAGTTCACAACAACGACAACATATACACTGAGATAGAAATGAGTAAAAACCCTATAATCTGAGCATTTTCAAAACGTGGAAAGTTTGCCCCTGAAGAAGAAAGGTCCACCTTTCGAAAGCACTTGGGTTATAGGGTTTTTACTCATTTCTATCAAGACTTCTTGAACCTACATTGACATAGCATGTATATCACTTTCTATGTATGTAACCAAAACTCTTGCACCATCTATTAAATGGCACCACAAACAAAAATCCATGAAAAATTTCACACTTTGAATATTCAAGATTCAGACAATGAGAAAAATAACTATGGTATGTGCAACAACTATTTCTTTATAATAGAACATAATTTTATATAAAAGTACTCTCCTCACAACATGAACACAACTTTCACTAGGACTGTACGTGAGGGTTTGATTACATCTTTATTGATGTTATTTTTAAGTGTATTGCTGAGAAACTGGAGCTCTTAAAAAACTATTATATATATGAGTAAAAATGTATGAAAATTTTGAGCTCTGTACATTGAATCATTTTGATGCAATGAGTTGTTTATGACTAAAGAGCACAATCCAAACACTTCTCCTGTGCAGTAATTCCCAGAAAGAAATTCTTTTTTTAGAAAATGCTCACTTTAAAACAATTTTTTCAATAAGTTATGAATACTATGATTAGCACAATCAGCTGTCCATAAAGTGTTGTTTCTGCTGCTAGTATAGCAAATGATTTTACTTAAAAGTTTTATTAACAGAAAACAACAGTAAGTACTAGTCACCTAAGAAATGAAATTTAAAATTCAAGTAAATATTTACAAAGACATTTTATTTTCTCTATATGCACTGCAGAATAAAAAGGGAACAACACAGAGAATTGTACTTTTCTTGATATTTCAGTTAATTCCTTATATATTAGAAAATATTTTTCTTCTGCCAGATTCTCATTCTTTACATATTAGGACACTGTACTTTGAACCTTCAGTTGGAAATATATAAGAATAATTAGCACTTATCTACCAGATACTTCTTAATGCCTTTAGTGACAGATGCTTAAACAACTTTCTGTTTACAGTCTTTGACTTTAGACTGGGCTTGTAGCCAAAAATTAACACTAGAGGCTATGAAAAGTTATTGGCTACTTTCAGAGCTTGTTCAAATAAGAATATCGTTTTATAAAAGGTGTTACTATCAGTATGGCAATTTAAATCCACATTGAAGATTTACTATACTCACATGAGGGTTTACATACACTGTAAATTTAAACTGTTTTACTTTGTTGAATAGAATCTAGTGAAACCAGAGATTCCAAAATGGTACTATCTCTGATCATCCAAAATTATCTTGATCCTGGTCTGCCCTCTAAGCACTGCTAAAAACAGTTTGCTACAGCACACCTGTCTCTATACACCATTAGTTTTGTGCCAATCATACTGTGCCATCTATACTAACACAGCTGGCTTCCTCTACTATTCTAGAACATTCCTCACTTTCTCAATTGACATATGTGTAGACATGTGTTTTAACTCACTCTCTATTTGATTACAAAATTTATGTGAGTTTTAACTTCAAGTTTCACCTTTTCATGTTTGATTTCCATTGTTTTTACTCATTTGTTTTCAAGATATTTCTGTTTTTCAAATTATAATTTGTTCATTTGAATTCGAGATTTATTATGGCAGATGATGAAATTCCTGCAACAGTCAACAATGGATGTGACACGAGTCCCCAGGTCTCAGGGTCGATGATGTCTGCTGGGAAGTACGGGCTTTAGTTCGAGTCTTACATTCACTAGATGATTCATTCCTTTCATGTCGGGAAGGATATAACTATTGAGTGGATTTTTTTTTCTGCAGCACCTTCCACCTGTTATTGTGCCTCCATGTAATCTCCTGTGTTAGGTATTCTTCTTCTGTGTTAAGTTTTTCACAGCGTATTTCTCACTGCTAGTAGGTATACCCATGTTTACTGAGTTTCTGTGTGCTTGTGTGGATTGACCTAATTTCCTCACATGATAATTTAGTTCTTTCATGTCTTATCTGCTCAGTATTTGATAAGTTAGATTTTTATAATTCTTTATCATCTAAGTTAGTTTAGTTTAAATTTGCATGTCGAGTTTGATTATTACTTTATTTGTGTTTAATTTTCAGTATATGTACAGGTTTTGCACAATAGTTACTGTTTGGGTAATTGTAACTTTGGTCAATTTTGTGGGTGTATTGGTTCATTATTTATACTTCCTTTCACTGTTTATGTTAGTTAGTTGTAAGTTCCTTTTGCTTTACTACTAGTCACATCTAATTGGGGATTAGACATGAGTCAAATTTTGTTGTTGTTAACTGGATGCCTGCCTCATCATTCTCCTGTTTTTCACGGTAGGTTTTACTTTCATGTCTTTTGTCTTATCATTTCTTTGAGTGAACATATATGTTCGATATTTAGGTGCCTTTTATCTTCTAAGTTCCTTTAGAGGTTTTATACTTTAGGTGTTGTTATTCCTTTATATTAAGGTCGATTTTAATAGTTTGTAAATTTGTTATTTTTATGTACTTTGTAGTTTTTAAAATTTATAGGTTTTGTTAGTTTGTTAGTAACGAGTACTTTTTCCAAGCATTTTTAGTTTATGTGTCTTTTTGCCTACACTTCACAACAGTTTCATGTGTTCTACAAGTTCTGTCTGAAGGTTTCAGCTTTCAGTTTCACTCCCTCTCAATCCACTTCCCAGATCTCCTCAGGATTGTACCTCTTCCAATCTCTTGCCTAGTCTGTTCAAGACCTATTACACAAAAGGGCTGTTGAACAGGTGGTACCTACTCATCTGGAGTTTTCTGTATAATTGTTGCTCCTCGAAAGATGGGAGATTGGAGATCTGTCATAAACCTGTCCCGGTTGAACTGTTATCTGGAGCCACCCTGCTACACCATGGAGTCCTACCTCTCACTTCAGGAGGTTTTTTCCAGGACTCTGGATGTCAAAATCTTTGTGATTGATGCCTTTCTTCATATTACAACTGCTCCAGTGTTACATATTTTTCTTTGGTTCGTCCACAAGGGTAGTGTCTTCCAGTTCCAGGTGCTGCCATTCAGTCCTTCTTTGGCTCTGTGGGTTTTCTTGAGTGGTATGCTCTTTTGTCCATCATTTTCACTTCTTGTGTCTTCAGACTCACCTTTTCATTGATTATTGGCTCCTGCTCATTTCTTCCTGTGCCTAGTCAGTCAGTTGCATCTGCTTACTTCTTTGGGAAGCTAATCAGGTAGGGTTTTCTGATCTAGTTTGAGAAATCCATTCTTAACCCCACTCCATATCTTATTCCATTGAGAGTTTTTCTTTAATTTCCATATTCATCAGGGCCAGCTTTCTCCACTATGGCTCAGAGATATGATGAGGGTGGTCTCAATGGCCTTACCCTATTCTTTTATTACTGTGCAAGGGTTCTCTCTCTTTTGGTGATGTGGGCTTCCTTGGAAGCTCTCATTCCATTGGATTGAGCTCCCATGCATTCCCTTCAGTGGATACTTCTTGACCAATGGAACTTCTCACACAATTCTTTGGACTATCCCATTACCCATCCCCCTGGGATCAGGACTGACCTTCATTGGTTGCTTGACAGGGAACTGACCACTGTGGGGGTTCTCATTTCTCTACTGTGTCTGAGTCTCATCTGTTTACCAATGTTTCCTTGGTGGGTTGGGGGCTTTCCTTGATTTCCAAAAGATTTCAAGTTGATGGTTCGTAAAGGAGGCTACTCTCCATTTTCAACATCCTGGAACTTTTGGCAGTTTGTCAGGTTCTGTATAATTTCTTCCCAGTTCTTTGCCTGGTTGTTTGGTCATGCTTTATCCATGTCAACTGTTTCTAGTTATAGAGCTGTCCTATTGAACACCATCTGATTCTCCCATTTCCAGAAAGCTTTCTCCCTCCCTGTTATTTCTCTTCTTTTCCATTCCTTTCGTCTTGTCCTTCCTCCATGTCCCATTTTTTTTTGCCATATTGAATCTTAATTTTATCATTCTTGCCCTGTCCAGTTCTCCATTTGAACCCATTGCTACAAGTTCCTTGTACCACCTTTCCACGTCCTCTTCCTTCTCCTCCTCCTAGCTTGCGGTCATCATTGTTCCAATATTTATGCCGTAGATGTTTCCTGCACCCTTTCACTTTCTTCTGATGTTATCCTCTATCCTGATCAGGCCTTCTTTCCCTAGACATTTGGTGCCCAAGCAGGTGGTTTGGCCTTCTCTCCTATTTTCTTCCCTTCCCTTTCTCATCAGTACACACACACACACAAAAAAAAGATCATGGTAGGAATTTAATTTTTAAAGGAAAGATAAGCTTTCTTAAATTGGGGTGTTCAGGGATATTGATACCCCCCTTTGCTCTGCTCATGAAAAAAGAAATACATGGGGTTCAAAGAAAATTCAGAGTAAGGTAGTATCTGCTAATTTGGCTGGTATGAAGATTTGAGAGATGTCTGGAAGTCCAGGAGGCAGAGTTAAGACCAATACTGATGACTATGATGATGACAACATTGATGAGAAGAAATAAAGTGACAACACTTGACAAAACATGTCTCTATAAATGCCCTATAAGCAGAGTCACCTAGTGGATGGGATCTATAAATCCATTGCCATGGCTGGGATAAAAAATATTCAAGAGTGCCAAGGAATTTGTTGTGAAGATCCCCGAGAAAACCCACTTTCACAGGACAGATGCTGAATAGTCTACCTGTCCTGTGCCCAAAGCAGAAATGAGAACAACATGAATAGGTTAGAAAGAACTTTGAAGTGTATTTCATAGCTAAGTATTCATTTTATGGGGACAGTGTTATCTATGATGCACTTGTCATCATGTGGAGGGTGGCAGTTAAGAGGTTTCTTTTTTCTGCTTTACTGTAGTATTTAAATGCTAGGGATGATAATCTTTCATTAATTATTTGTATATTGCATTTTTTGTGTACTTGTAGGGGATAAGCCTATTTTGAAATATGATTCCTGTTGTTTTAATTGAGTTAAGTATTACCCTTCCATGATTACACCAATTTACTATAGTGTCAAGTGATTTTTGTACTCACTACTATTAGGGGGTTTTGTGAGATTCTCCAAATAGAAATATCATCAGAATATCGTGAGAAGTATGTATAAGTTAGACTCTGGAAGGGGATGTTGTTAACAAAGAGAAAGTAAAGGACGGAGCAGTTATGTCAAACAATTTTGAAATGGTGTTGTTAACTTTAACTGAGGCTGAGCAGTCACTAAGGAAATTTGATGTCCATCTAAGAATTGTGTTATTTATTTTGATATTGTGAAGGTGATATTTAATAGCATTGTGCCAGACAGAGTCGAAGGCTTTCTTTACGTCTAAGAATATGGCTAGGGTAGATTGTTAAATGACTTGTGAATAGATTCAGTTAATCTGGTTAGATGACCTACAGTTTGTCCTTTATGGGAGGAGTTTTGGATGTTTGGTATCAGGTTGTTGTTCTCACGATAGAGGAGTAGTCTGTTTGATATTATGTGCTGAAGTAATTTACCTAAGCAGCATGATTGGTCTGGCGCTGTCCAGATTAGAATTATTTGAAGTAGATTTAGGAATAACTGTGATGGTGACTTTTTTCCATGATTTCGGGTAGTAGCTTGATAGAAATAATAGATTCATAATGTTAAGTAAATATAGTAATATGTTGTTCATTGCATTTTTGAGTATTATGTTACAAATACTGTCATGGCCAGGATCTGAGTTTTTAGTGATCTAATATTAGTTTTAAGCTCACCTGCAGTGATTTTTTTGTTGAATAAGTCAGGAATGTCTGGTGATGTTTGTGTTTTAGTAGACTTAGGAAATATGAGGTCAATAGTTCGGGTTGAGATGCTATGTGATTGTCAACTTTTTTTGAGTTGTTGGTTGAAATGTGGAGAATCGATATGTGAAAAAGAATTTTTGTAGTAGCTGGCTAGCAAGTTGGCCTTATCAATGTCTGTTTTGGTGGTGATGTTATTATATTTAATGTGATGAAATAATTTGTTGTTGTTTTTTCAGATGTTAAAGATTTAAATTTTTTCCAAATTCTTTTGGTTGATTTTGATTATTGTCTAGTGTGTTACAAAATTGTAGCCAATTGTCATTTTTCAGGAGTATTATTTTTCTTTTAACCAGAGTGTGTATTCTGTTTATTTGTGGTTTTAGTGATATGTATCATGATGCCATGAAGCTTCTTCTTATGTGTCTTCTTTCAAGAATTAAGTTATGTATTTCTGTATTTAGCTTCCAGTGTTGAGGCGACACACTTCAACCCTGTATTTAGCTTTCAGTGTTGAGACAACACACTTCAACCCTGTATTTAGCTTCCAGTGTTGAGACAACACACTTCAACCCTGTATTTAGCTTCCAATGTTGAAGTGTGTTGCCTCTTTATGCTGTAAGGGTTGTCTTTTGTGTTGCTTAAGTAATGGCTTTTGTAACCTTTTCTATGTAAATATCTAGGTTGTCTTTTGTGTTGTTTAAGTAATGGCTTTTGTAACCTTTTCTATGTAAATATCTAGGTCGTCTTTGCATGATACCATGGTAATGGGATTAGGTAAAAGAGTGTCTAGTAAAGTGTTAAAGTTGTTCCAGTCTGTTTTCGTGTAGTTGAAAGCTGGTGGGAGATTTGAAGATGTGTCTTGTCTGTTAATTTGTAGAATGAAAGAAATTGGAAAATAGTCACTGGACACAGAAGGGTGTACAGAGAAGTTCTGTGAGAAAGGTAGGGTTGAGTTGGGAATTATTGCAAGGTCTAGAATGCCATAAGAGTCGGTAGCTGCATGGTAGTGTGTTCAGTGGTTAATTTGATGACATGCATGTTGTTGTTTTCTAGCAAGGTGTGAAGGGCTAAGCCTCTAGAGCTAGTGTGGTAGCTGTGGAAATTGGTGTGTGTGTGTGGGGAGGGGCATGGAAATCTCCTACTAGAATGGGTTTAGGTTGTATTAATAAACAGGTTTGGAGAAAGTTTATGTCTAATGGTTTGCTGGGAGAACAATACATGGCTAGAAGTGAAATCAGTTGCCTGTTGTTGAAATGGATATTGCATAGGATACTTTTGTTTATTTTTGAGAAAGTGTCTGTTTCAATACTTATACAATGAGAGAGATAGTTTTTAAAATATATAGCTGTACCACTTGTTTTTGGGCATGAGAAAGACTTAAAGCCTTGGATGTTTATGTTAATATCATCTTTATCCATAGTTTCTGAAATTATAATTATTTCTGCATCGATATTGCTGTTCAGGTCAAGAATCTCAAGTTTCTTGATATCTAGACCTCCCTGGCAGTTTATGTGTAAGATGTTTAATGTGTTTCTGAAAGTTCTGCCTTTCACTTACAGGCTTCAATGCAAAGAGCATCCAATTCATCATCTAACTGTGTTCTTAGCTGCTCACCTTTGCTGGGCTTTGGAGGAGAATGTTCAGGTTTGGATGTGGACAACTCCAAATACATTTATTGCACATTACCTGCGTGAATTGGCTTTGTCTGACTTGGGCAAGTATCATTTTCCTCCCGTGACAATTATAACCTTTTCACCTTTGACTGGGGTAAGTTGACATGTTACTTTTCTTATATATTTTATGTTGATACATATCATATTTCAAGATCCCACCTGGTAGCTGGTGTTGCCTAGTCAGGTATGCTTCATATTATATTTGCGCTAGATATGAATAATTCTATAACACTCACTGTTGAGATGGGGTGTTTCTGTAAGACTGGCAGCAGCTTGTCCAGTGGTATGTGCATCTATATTTTGTTCCCCCCCCCCCCCGTCATAGTTATCCAGTACTTCCTTCACTTATTCAGTGCTGTATGTCTCTTTATTGACTTCAGTGGTGCCTGTCAATTCAGATCCACCCCAATTGTGTTACTGTATTGATTGCTGGATGAAAAGCATATCGGTTCCAAAAGTAGTGCTGTATTCCAATGGTGTGCTTTCTTTTCATATTCTAGCACAACCATTCTTTCAGTGCAGTCTCTTTCTGCCTGATTTGAGATTGATGTGCCTTCGCTGGCCCTTCCACCTCAGCAATGTGGGATTCTAGCTTTGGGTGAGAAGAGGTTGTACCGTTTTGGAAGTTAACATTTTCTTACTCTGAAAATGTATTTCCGATAGGTACTTACCTCCTCTTACCTACTTCCCACTGAGATGCTGATGTTTATGGTTTGTGCCTGCCAATTCTCGAAAGTAATGATTATTCTAGAATAGTAGAGATAGCTAGCTGCACTAGTATAGATGGTGCAGTACGGTTGGTGTAGAGTAGTCACATGATCAGCATATGTTTTTGATGGGGTATAAAAGCTGGTGTGCTGTAACAAAAATTTTTCTATCAATGCTTAGAGGACAGATCAAGATTTAGATAGCTGTGAGTGAGTGGGGAGGGGGGAGTGGTTATTGGAAAAGGTGTTACTATCACTATAGTAATTTTAATCCACAGTGAGGATTTACTATACTCATATGAGGGTTTACAGACACTTTAAACTATTTCATTTATTGAATAGAGTCTAGTGAGACCAAAGAAAAGCCATTTCCTCTGATTCAGCCAGTTGATGTTAATGTTCATAGAAACAGCACAGGTGCAGCTGCCAAAAATAATGATATAAGGTAAGAAATTAAGTTGCTTTTTAATAGTTTTATGCTTTGTGAGTTAAAACAATCTATTTATTAATAAATTAACTAATTCATAAAAGAAATAGTACCAAAAAACTGATTACAGGTTTAGATGTCAGTGGTAGAAACTGTTAAGTATAAATAAAATATTGACAAAGGGTACAAATTTTTTTTTCATGGACACTTGTGTAAAGCCATAGATAAATAAACAAGAAACAGTTAAAACAACAATATTTTCTAGATTACACAAAATAAATACACTCTACATGTTATGACACTCCTCAAGGTGTCATCTTCAGGAGTGAAAAATCCCAGGGGTATAACAGTGTTTATACCTTCTATTCAGTCATGTGATATCTTAATTTTATAGCCTTTTATGCTCTCTAAATACATTTTGCCCTGTTATATAATCCCTCATCCTTGTTTAACACATTATTACTTTTATCACATTTAATTATTTCCAAGGATTCATGAATATTTCTGGTCATTTTAAGTTGGCCTAATAACATAATTTGTTTCAACTGAAATGTTGGGCTGATGGTGAAATATCTATTTGTTTATTTTTAGCATTTGGCTTGTGCCATTCACTCTCTATTTTAGGTTCCTTTTAGTCTGACCTATGAATATGTTTCCACATTCACAAATTAATTTTAAATATCTGTTTTTTTTCCATTATATTCACTTTATTTTAGTTTTATTTGAAAATTGATTAATCTTATTTACAGGTTTATATGTAGGATAATTTTTTTTTAATATTAAAACTTTATAATATAAACCAGTTATATAAGATGAAAATTGATTAATCTTATTTACAGGTTTATATGTAGGATAATTTTTTTTTAATATTAAAACTTTATAATATAAACCAGTTATATAAGATGAAAATAACATTTCTCTTTTTATTTTCTGATACTTTAATCAAATAACTGTTACCAACTGTTTCTGTTCTAAATTTCTTAACTGCTCTATCAATGATATCTGTGTAAAAACCTGTATCAACTGTTATATGTTTCAGCAATAGTATTTCATTATTTGATTTTTTATTATTGCTTTATATACATAAAAATAAAAAGCTGATATTTTTTTAGCTTTAGTAGGATTTGAAGGAGATTAAGGATTGGATATGTCAACTAATTTTTGTAAGCTCTTGAATAGTAGACAAGTTCTAGAGAGATAGAAGTCGGCTAATGTTACTCATCTGTTGAAAGAAGAGGATGAAAATTGTCCCAGTAATTATAGGCCTATTGGTTTATATCTTTGGTGGGAGAAGTTTTTGAAAGTGTGAGAAAAGAAGCTTTACAAAGTCATTTAAAAAATTTGAAATTTTGTTGGATGGTCAGTATGGTTTCACTAAGAGAAAATCTTGCCTTAATAATCTTTTGACGTTCTTTGAAGAAGTTACTGGATGTGGGTGCGGACTTGGTGTATCTGGATTTTCAGAAAGCATTTGACATTACTTCTGTAAGTGTATAAGTTGTCTCATTGGATAGAAAAGTGGCTGGATAGAAGAAACCAGAGGATGTTTATAAATGGAGTTCAGTCATCCTGGATTAATGTTACAAGTGGGGTACTTCAGGGCTCAGTGTTATGACCTTTGTTGTTTTTGATTTATATCAATTACAAAGATGAAGAAATGGTCAGTAAATTACTTAAATTTGCAGATGATATTAAGGTCTTGGATATTGCTGACTGTGAGTAGGGTCCTGCTTCTAATTATAATAAATGCAAAGTAATTATGTCGTTTATCAGAACTTGAATTATAAATATAATTTTGATGGGAGTAACCTTAATACTGTTTTTTGAAGAAAAGGATCTTGGTGTTCTGGTTGATTGGTCTCCTAAGCCATCTAAGCAGTATACTGTTGCTAGTTGCAGGGCAAATAGGATTTTAGGTTGTATCTACAGAAATATTGAATACAAGTCAAAGAAGTTATAATTTTATTGTATAGTTCATTGGTTAGGCCACATTTGAAATATTGTGTTTAATGTTGGGTTCAGAGAAGAGCTATTAGGATGATATGTGGAAAGGTTGTCATACAAGTATAAGCTAAGATCTCTTAAATTGTTATCTCTTGAAAAAGGAAGAGTTAGATGGAGCCTGATTGAAGTGTTTAAGATTGTTAAGAGAATTGATAGTGTTGTTGCATCATCCTTTTTGATACTTAATGGTGAGAATGTTATGACTAGGGGACACAAATAAAAATCTTGGCAGGGTAGGAGTCATCTTCATTTAAAGCAGTTTTATTTTTCTAATAGGGAAGTAAGCCTTTGGAATGGGTGGAAATAGTAAATTTAATGGAAAGCTTGATAAATATTTATATGATAATGGCTAGCTTTGAGTGTATTTTTTTAATTGTTTATTTGAGTGGATGGGACAGCCCAGATGGATCAGCAGGTCCCTTGTTGTCCTTAAATGTTATGTTATAACTCTGAGTTTTGTTTCTGTTCAGTAGTGTTAAACATCTTACCTAGAGTTTTTTATCTCAGTGTTGTGTTTGTTGAGTAGTTCACAAACATCTTTTATAATTTTTTTATCTCTTGAGTCTTGTTTTTATTCATGAGTGAACAAATGTTATATACTTTTTAATACACCATGTGTAAGTATACCGAGTTTTATTGAAATGCCAAACTAGCTGAAGTATTCAAATACAGTATTCTTAAAAACTAATTTATTTCATCTTAAAAAAGATGAACTAAGTATGAAAAAATATTTAATTCATTAATAACAAGCAAAAAAATGTCCTTATTTATTTATAAATGTAAAAATCTACATTAATGGAAAGATGTTAGGAAGAAATACTCTATATTAAGAAATAAACAAAGAGTGCCTAAGAATAGGTATTTATTTTTTATTGAGGCTTTCATATGTAAATATAAAAGTATAATTGCATTTATATCTTCATTTCTTTACAGTCTGTTTTTTATACACTTAGATAATTTTAGGTACCTAACATGCAGTTATATGAGAAATTGATGGGTAATTTCTTTTCACATCACATTAGTAAGTTATCGTCTAGTCGAGCAGAGTCTAGCAGACATTCACGTGAAGTGATCCTAAAGTATGAAATACAGAGATTAGCTCTTGAGAAAAAAAAAACTGAGGAAATAGTGCAAGAACTAGAAAATTCTCTCTCCTATCAAGTGATACACAAAGCTAATTTTCCAACACAGGTCAGTTTAGGTAAAGTTATATGTGTAATATACCATTATTGTTGTTTAACTAGTATTGTAGTGAAGTTAAATATACATTAGTTGATGATAAGTTGTATTATTTTATAAAGAAATTTTTTGTCATCAAGGAAATGTGTATTTGATGTTGTGTGATTGTATATGATTGTCTGATCACTAGTTGTTGTGTAATGTGACACGAGCTGATGTCAGGAGATTACTCACGACTGTCTGACCACTAGTTGTTGTGTAATGTGAAGTGAGTTGGTGTCATCAGGAAATGTTTACCTGATGTTAGGAGATTACATACTGATTATACAACTACTAGTTGTTGTGTAATGTGAAGTGAGTTGGTGTCATCAGGAAATGTTTACCTGATGTCAGGAGATTACATACTGATTATACGACTACTAGTTGTTGTGTAATGTGAAGTGAGTTGGTGTCATCAGGAAATGTTTACCTGATGTTAGGAGATTACACATTGATTATCTGACCACTAATTTATTTTTGCTATAATCATAAGCACTGAATGTAGCCATAGTATCAGATTTTTATCCTCTATTTAGTGTGTGCAACAATTACTGAATGAGTGATAAAGTTGAAAGTTACAGGTATTACTCTTATGTTGTAATGATTGTAGTTGTCAAAATAGATCTTGGTCAAAGTGACAGAAAGAGCAGGATGCTGAAAATTTAAATTTAACAAAAATAAGAAGGTTCCTTAAATGCAATAAATAAGTTGAATAAGAAAGTAATCTTTAGTCTTATTCGGTTTAGTTTTGCATACAGTTAAATTATTGACCAATCAATAACAGAAATTTGTTGCAAAGATTGTCTGATTGAATGGTTTTATAGTATAAGTATCTACATATGTAAATGTTAAGAATTTTATTTAACTTCCTGAAAAATTTATTTTAAAGCCTGATGTTAAATTTTTGACATTGTTGTGCAGTTTGGTGGTTGTAGTTAGATGTTGCACATATTGTTCCATTATTAGATAGTATATATACTTACATACAAATTTTATAACAAGAGATTTTTGTTTACTCTGTGTTTGCTACAGGTACAAGAAGAATCACTGGAAAAAGAAATAACTAGAATCCAAAAGGAGTTAGAACACCAGAAGCAGGTTTTCAAGGACTATCAAGATCGTATAAATAAGCTTGAGGTTAGATGAAATTACACTAGAAATAACTAACAGAATTTAGTTGAACAGCTTGCTTATTTTGTTTCAATTCCATAAGAGACAATGATGAATGCTAAACCACTTATTACCATTTCCCTTATGAAATTATCTTTTTTGGCAGTGGAGAAACCTTTTAATAAAGGTCCAAAAGTTTGTGTTGATTATCAGTTATTGTATATTCTTTTAATACCTAATGAAACTTTTAATAACTTTTCTCATTCATCAAATGATATTTATTTATTACCAACTAGTACTCTGGTATCTGAAACAGAGCAACAGTGGTTATACCTATGGTGGTTTGTCACTTGTTGTTCACTCTTATGGCAGTTGTGATATGTTCTAATGCAAAGTGGATTCTGATTTCCAAGATATTTTTCTGTAAAAGTTTTCCACATTGATGATATGTTTGTAACATATTCTTGTGTAAAGAAACTAAACAGAAGAATGTAATTGGGATGGTAATTAATTACACCATCTTAATTAAACCACTGGCATAATAATCATAGGGTTGTTTTCCAGTCATAATAGCATGATAATCTCTGTTCCTTTTGAGTTTAACATAAAAATATGTTAGAAGTGTAGAATATTTTGACTTTGAAGAATATTCCAGTTTTTATTGAAGTCTGGCAGATTCATTTGTAGTTTTTTTTACTGTAAGTTTAACACATTAAATGTGTTAGAAGTGAGGAATATTTTGAATTGGTTGAATATTCCAGGTTTTACTGAAGCCTTCTGGTAAATTTGGTTTAACTTTTTTTACTGTAAGTTTAACACAATAAATGTATTAGAAGTGAGGACTATTTTGAATTGGTTGAATATTCCAGGTTTTACTGAAGTTGTCAGATTCCTTTAAAGTTTCTTTATTGTCTGTTTAACACAATAAAAGTGTAAGAAGTGAGAACTATTTTGACTTGGACGAATGTTCCAGTTTTTACTGAGGGCTGGCAGATTTGTTTTAAGTGTTATGTTGCTAAAAGATTAACACAGTAATTATATTAGAAGTCTACAATATTTTGACTTAGATAAAATGTTCCTCTTTTATTTATTTTTTATGAAGATTGAGCAGATTCATTTTGAGTTTAATTTTACTGTAATTTGAATATCACAAGGTAAAACAGTGTAAGGGTGAAGATTGCATATTTGATGTAAATTTTATAAAATGTTTTTACCATATGATAAGTCTTCTATCACTAAGAGCTGTACACTTTAGTACACAGATATGTTTAGTGGCTAACCATGTAAGTAATCATTCTGTGTAATACCTTAGGGAAAGTAATGTGTCAACGTGTCTTTCATATTTTATAATCTTGCTAGCTTGTACAGAAGTAGAACAGAGTGATTTGATAATTTGATTTTACTGTTTATAAAGGATCAGTCGAAGATTCTTGAATATCAACAGAACTCCCCTGTGAAGAAAAGTTGGTCGATCCCAGGAATCAAATCTAGTAACATATGTTGTATACAGTAGTGTTTGTTCATGGGTTGTGTTAAGATTAATCCTATTTCTAAAAGATCATTTCTTGAACATCAACAGAACTCACCTGTAAATAAGAGTTGATTAATCCAAGCTATCAAATGTAGTAACATATGATATTTACAGTAGTGTTTAGTCATGGGTCATGGCAACATTGTTTTTCATCCAACAGTACATAACTTTTTGGCTTTAGTATTTTATATCTAAATATATTTTGAAAAATACTAAACTCCAATATGTATTATGGTAATCAGTATAATTTAATAACCAAGATGTTTACAGCCAGAGTGAGTACTCAGTTCATTATATAGATGATTATATAGATTAACATAAACGTTCAGAGTTCTGTCAGCCTGTGGTTTATCTGGTAAAGGATCTGCTTGGTGTGATAGGTTAGTCTCACACTATTATACATTTTACTAGTTTATAAAGAAATTCTGTGATTTAAACCCTTTATATGGTTAAAAGTTTGTCACATTTATGGCACTTTTTTTAATGTGTGGAAGTAATTTAAATGTACAAGTTACTTCAATGAGAAACTTAATACAGCCATAGTTGAATATTGATCTAGTTACCTTAATAAAGGGGTCTTGTGTTTACCTAGTCAATAAATCTTAAAATGTAGGATTTCAGCTGTGTGAATAAAATAAACTTAATCATATTTACACAAAACTGCATTATTCTGCATACGTTGTGTGAATAAAACAAATTAGTAACTTTTACACAAAAACTGCATTATTCTGCATACACTTGTGAATAAAACAAAGTTGGTCATTTTTTATACAAAATCTTCAAACTGCATTACTTTCTTTACACTGTGTGCATAAAACAAAATTAATGAATTAATCCTATTATCTATCAGCTCAAATTTACTTATACATTCATTACTAAAATGGTTTTAACTGGAAATTTTAGGACTTGTTATGCAGTATGCAGAATAATGCAGTTTTTGTGTGAATGAGATTAAGATTTGTTTATTCACACAGTGTAAGTATCATTTGTTTATGGTATCTGCTGAGTATCTGTTGTGTCAATTATCAACTAGTAAGATGACTTATACAAGCAATTTTATGATATTTACTTTTATCCACATAAAATTTCCTAATGCTGATGTGATACGTGTAGTATGTAGATTTTCATAGAAATATTGAAATTATTATTTTACTTTTAATATTTTTTGTTACATTCAATAACAAATATTAGATATTGCTCAACACAAGTCACAACTAGTAGGCTTAATATTCACTTTAACATACTAGTTGTCAAATAATGTGGTGCCTTAAATAAAAATAAGTATTATTAAACATATGGGCATTAGGTGTTGGAGAAAACAATTGTGCGAAAACAGTTTATTCTTGTTGAGTTAACATTATAATGTCACTAGACTAGAAGGTCCATTATGCCTTGAAATATTACTGCTGGTTTTAATAACCATTTATATCTAGGAAACAAACTCTGAAGAACTTTCAAGTCATAAAAATAGTTAAAAACTCATGGAATGTGAATTTAAAAAATTTTTAAAATCAGAACTGTATTAATGTTTTTTCATTTAATACTGGCTTGGGTTTCCATTTTCCAAATTTGGATTTTTATCAGTTTGGATCATTCAACTCTCAATCAGTTGGTAGTAATTTATTGACATATAGACAAGAAACTTGCCAGTTTCTGTCATCTCAAGTTTTTTTTCTAAGTCAAAACATCAGTTATTAACAGATATTTTTCCTTTGGTGTTTCGACCATTCTAGTTAAATAAGACCTGGGTTATCTTACTGAAGCTGCCAGTTGAAACTTTGAAATAGCACTTCAAACAAAACTGTATGGTCTTTTTTATTTTAACTGAAATATTAACTCCCTGTCAGAAACAAAGCCACTATTTAATTAAGTAAAGAACCAACTGACAATACATAGTTCCCGAGTTTATATTACCCTTGCAACATAAACCCTTTTTGCTATTTCATTTACTTTCCATATTACAGTTTTTGTTCTGGAATGTATATTTGAAAATTTTGAAAGTATATACAGTCTGTTCTTGATGCCATTAATTGAACTAATCAGTAAAATACTCATGGATGCTCACAGGAAGGGGCAAGGGGGGTCACTTGACCCTCCCTGGATTTTCAAAAAGAAAAAAAAAATTACTAGATATATAAAATTATTCTTCAATGTTATTGGAAAATCATTTCGATTTCATAATTTTTTCAAACTTGAGTTACTTGACCCTCCTAATTTTTTTTCTGCGAGTCCCCCTTGGCAATACCCATGTATATAAAAGATGAATAATTCTGTTAAATATACTTGTTTTGTACTGTAAGGTATTGTTATGTATTTATGCTGTATGATGCCCCTTTGTCATTTATTTTAAAATGTCATGATGTGCTAAATTTTCATCAGCCATGTATTTCTGAAAGATTGGCCAGTTTCTCATGTGAACAGTCTTATTAAAAAAAAACATAGCACTCTAGAACTGTGGCAACTTTTAACAGATATTCTTTGTGTATTGTATGATATTTCAAGCTGTATAATTTAGTATCAGATACCTTATTAATGCTTATGTATGTGTGAAGACTTTGTGGTATGTTAGTTAATACATTACATTACCATAGTCAGTTTTATTTCCAGGTGGTTAGGGTGCTCGACTCGCAATCTGAGAGTTGCGGGTTCGAATCCCCATACCACCAAACATGCTCGCCCTTTCAGCCGTGGAGGCATTGTAATGTGACGGTCAATCCTAATATTCGTTGGTGAAAGAGTAGCCCAAGAGTTGGCGGTGGGTGGTGATGACTAGCTGCCTTCCCTCTAGTCTTACACTGCTAAATTAGGGACGGCTAGCGCAGATAGCCCTCGTGTAGCTTTGCTCGAAATTCAAAACAAACAAACAAACTTAGAACTTTAATAATGATATTTATTGAGAAACAATTACATGTATTTTTGATTATCAAAATTATGAACTTTCACCTTTTTTTCACTGGATGTTTCTTTGAACCAGCGATTGGGAACTACTAGTCTAGTGCTTTGCGTGTTGGGCTGCAAATAGACGGGTCCGGAATTCGAGACGAACTGTTACAGAACATTATTGTTTTATTAAAGAAGTTTTCCTATGGTAGCTCTTCTTGTTCTGTGGCTAAGAATTCCACGATATTATTCGAACACGTTTCCTATTCATCCTCTCCCTTTCATTTACTTCCTCGTCTCTCCCTCTTCTTCTCCTTCTTGCTGCTATTCTGAGTGTGTGCATTTGTCATTAAAAGTAAGTTACAAATGAATGATTTTATTAACTTTCTTTCTGTGTTAAATCTGATTCTCATTCAAGCAATTATAGTGAAATGATTATTTACTTATCTCAATTTCTGCATCCAACCTGAACAACATCTTGTTTACAGAAGGTTAAATGGTCGGTCCAGGTACCATTAGGATTCAGGTACAGTCATTCCTAATATTGAACTACAAATCGGAGGGATAGCAGTCAGCCAGCAGCACCCTCCGCTACCAGGATATTGTCCGAATCATTAAACCGAATAACAGGATTGTGTGGAGGTAATAATGGTACAAGAAACAAAACTACGTCGAAAACTACCATACTGCGGCGACATCAGAGGGTTTCTTAACCATCAATAGTGGAGTTAAATGCCGGAATAGGACTTCTCATCCGTATAGATGTCAACATTGAATGCTGTTCATACAAACACAGTGGGGCAGAGACTCTAGCAGACAGACAGAAGATCGCTGGCAAGGATTATATCCTGGTCTATTTGTATATCCCTACTGACATTATGATAGAGGAAAATAAATAAACTAGGTTACTGAATCCTCCCGTGAATATGGGCAAAAGAGTCATTATTATAAGGGACTTTAATTCTCAGTGACCAATCTGGCTGGACACTTACCAAAATGTGATTGGAAAATCTCTGTAGGAGGTGCTGTGAAATGTTAACTGTATTCTGGCCAACAATGATTCCTCCGTAAGAATAGCAGAGAGATGGGGAGACTTTGATTCATGCCTGATACACCTGATGTATTCCTTGAATCGAAATAGAACCTATGGCTTTTAATGTACAGTGACCGCAAGCACATGTCCATTGTATTGCCAAGAAAGAACAGCGTTAAAAAACACACTCAGACTTCAGGCTTCCAATATAAAACAAGACCGAAAATCATTGCGTGTAAATGAAGGAGAGTGGTGAGAAAGGAACCAATGAGTCAGAAAAGTAAAATCTTTAGCCACAATAAGCCCGAATGAGAGACAGCAGAAGTGGAGTAAGCCTGGAAAGAGAAGATTGTAGCCAAAAGATGTAAACGGGCAAAAATGATAAAAAACGTATCTATTGGATGTGTGATAGGGACACAGGACCGAACCATAAATGTTTTAGAACTGATGAAGCATATGCAGAGGTATATGGCCGAGATGCAAGAAAATGGATAAGCTTCTGTGAGTTGAGTATGATAGAAAGTGAATGACAGAATTCAACAGGGTGCTGACTCATAGCCAGAAGAAATGCCATTGACGTCTGATAAACTGGAAAAAAAAGTCTTCAAGAAATATTGAAGGATTTTGCCCACCAAACACTGATGCTATGAGATACTCTGAAATCAAACATTCTCCTCAGAAAAGAAAGCAGAACTAACTTATATAATCAGTTTGTCAGTGATGGTGGGAGAAGGAGGATGGAGAAGGACCCTAGAAACTGATTAATGGCAGTGTTACCATAACTTCTTCAATGGACATCACACATTGAAGTGTTATAAATTAATAGCAATGTTAAATGTATGGGTAAATCTTATGGAAAGTTAGAAGCAAAAAGATTCACGTGAGACTTGGAATGGACAGAAAGTGTAGAAAGCAGCCATGAGAATGGCAACAGGATCATCCAAACTACCACTCTGTGACACCCTGTACTCTAGGATTTGTCTGAGCGTCATTGCTACAGAACAGAAGATTCTCGCCAACCAGGTGCTGCTCAGAGCAACCACAACCACCTCATCCACAATATCCGCAATTGAGAGAAGGTCGGACAAAACAATAATACAATCAATGTATGGGTCGGTGAAGTAGATGAATGTGAAAGGAAAGATCAGAACTAATAAACACAGTCGAACTCATAGTTGGATATAGAAGGAAAGACCGACACTGATCATAGAAAGGGGTGGCACAGTCGGGAATGATATGAATATGTAGTCAGGAGCCATGTGGGGAAATTGAAATATAGTGTTTGAAGGGTCAGTGGCAAAAACTGGACAATCTAGTTTATTTAGAGCAGAATGTCAAGCGTGAAGGAATGTACTCTTTACAGACTTCCTAAACCTCATCGCAAAATTGGAAACAGGTTTTGTCAAAAAAAAAAATGGCTAAAAGCTTTGAGAAACTTGAAGACTGATCTAATAACGGTCTATATCTCAGAATAGCATTTAATAAGAAAATAATCATCAAACAGGTAAGATCTATGAATGATGTCGACTGTGAAATAGCGTTGAAACTGAGGAAACGCAAACAGAAGAACCAGGAGTTACATTGGTCAATTGTAAGACTAGAGGAAAGTGGATGGAAGTGTGGTAGTCAAGTGATTAACGAAGGTAAATGGGAAGGACAGATGCTACTTAAGTCAATTAAAATTGGGCATTATTAATAGAAGA